TTAGATTTTATTTTGTTATTTTTTAATGTTTATTAGATTTTCTTTCTTCCATACGTAAGAGTACAATGACATAAACAATGTTTATAAATTGTGTTTTTCCCCTAATTACGGCGGGAAACGGATCCACGTACTCTTTTACCATTAAAGAGAAAACATACTAAATATTTCTTTTTTATGTTGAATCTACATTAGGCCATTCCAAGTTTTTTCTCTGTTTAGCGTCCACCCATCTTTAAAAAACCTACCTTCCTATTTGCAAAAAACACTCAAACCAAAAAATAAAACAAAAGAATTTATAATCATAAAAATGGGGTCAATCAAAGGATTTGACTTCATTAATCTATTTTTCTAATTTTCATATCCTAATTTTGTTTGTTTTTTCTCATATTGGGTGTCAAAAACCAAGGTGCACGTGGACGCTAAACATAGAAAAAAACTTGGAATGGCCTTATACTGAGAGAAAGGGAGGGAGGGAGAGAGACCTTTAAACTATCAAAAGTAATTTAATTAAATCTACATGTACATAAAATCATTTTCTTGGAATTTTGGCTACGCTTTTTCCTCTAATATTTTTTTTTGATGTATTGAGATGAGGATATTCTTCTTCATGTTATACTTCATGATATTCTTTTTCCTGTTATAGCACCAGTCGTGGCAGCCTAGTGGTAGGGCGTTCATTTCGTGATCGAGAAGCCCAGAGGCATGTTCAACAGAGCAAAATTTTCTTATCTTTCCAACAGAAATGTTTCGCAAGCGCTCGCGAGCGTTTGCTCTGTTGAACAGGCCTCTGGTTCGATTCTCGTTCGCTGCACCGCGTCAAACCTAAGACGTCAACATTGGTAGTGACCGTTCCTTCTCCAAGCGCCCGGCACTAGAAGTGAAAGGATGAGACCTTAAAGCCGGCGTCCTTTGTCACGGTAGGCTTTGGCATGACAAAAGAACCTTCACTGCTCAAAGGCCCCGAGTGCCAAGTATATATACGTATTAATTTAAAACCTGGAAAGTGTTACACAGACAGAATGCATGAATTTATGACCTTGACCTTATAGTGTTCTTCTTTTAGCCATAGGGATCTTCTGTATGTCAAAGAGAGTTGTGATTTTATATCGAAGAAAGCTCAAGCTTCTTACACACAGACAGGCGGACAGTAAGACCCAAATTAATATCCCCCACTTTCAGTGAAAGTGGAGGACAAATATTACACAACTGGCATTTGGTACATAGCCAACATTCCAAGTTGTCACAAAGCACAAATGGCCATAACATGAATTCTTAACAGAAATGAAAAAAATTCTCTGTCAATATTTTTCTTCTCCTACTCTACATCTTGAAATATGTCCTGTTTGTTTTGCATTCATTGATTACATGTACTGTAAAACTTGTCAAATCAGGATACCCCTGGTTCCAAAGAAATTGTCCGGATTAGCCAACATTCCAGATTAGACACAAAATTTTAAACAATTGAATTTACTAAAATGGACATTGTATAGATCAGATTAGGCAAGATTTCAGAATACACAGCATCTGGATTAAACAAGTTTCACTGTAGTTCCATTCACATCATTTTATCACCTATGCTGTTGCATTTAATTAACAATCTGACTCCTGTTCATATAACTAGTCTTCATGAGTCTCTGAAGAAATCTTTTTCGATTCATAAACTAGCAAGCAACCCAATTCCCAGCACAGTCATATAAGCACACAATACTGACAATCTCCTTTTTGGGGAACATCAAACATTTTCCAGATGAACATCAAAATGCAAGATTTTTATTATATACATTTGTAGGATTCACAGTGTCATTGTGTGAAAGAAGCTTACAATTTATTTTACTTCCCTGTTTCAACTATACATCAATCATATAAAAACAAGAACACAGAGCCCAGAAGTCTGTTTTTATTGATATAAATATTAACGTTTTCCTCCAACTCTTGGCTTTGTTGCTGCTCCACCTTTCTGGGAGGGTTTCATCTTAGGCTGGGCAGTTCTAGATGCCTGGGCCTGAAACAAGTCAATGTTTACATGTACATGTCTGCCTTAAATACAAAGAGCAGTATGTTAAATACTTACCAAAACAATATAATACATATTTTTACATTTATATACTTTGTAAAGGACAGATATTGGAAAACAAATGTCTGATTGCCTAATACAGATTAAATCTATTGGGGCAAGCGACTTGCAACTGAAAAATTCTTACTGGTAACCAATTCAATTTCAACATAATGTTCCCTTCATTCACTATATGAGCAAGCTAGTTCATACTAGTGCCTAGACATTGTCGGGAATGTTTTTCTGACTTCCTGTCCACATCACAGAAATCATGATTGGGAGTTTTACTGATGCAGCTTCGGCACATATACTACCTTCCTACTTTTAAAATTCACCTGCTTCACAAAGAAAGTGCACGAGTCAACCGGGTACGACTTTGAGTACAATTTTGTTCTACATGTACAGCCTACATATTTGGAAGCAGAAATAATTTTACAAATTTCATTAATTTTCTCATATAGCAAACATATAAATAGGACATATGATCAAAAGTGATCAAGTATGATACATTATTTGTACCTTTTAATTTATCCTAGTTACAACTCAAATCATTTATTTTTTTGGACTGCAGACAGTATAATATCATACATTATTGAGCCACTGACAATGAATAATATAAATATACCTTCTGTTGTCTCTTTTGGGCATCTTTTGCCTTTTGTTTTTCTTTTGCAGCTCTGCAATAAAAGAATCATTATTGATATACTGAAATCACTTATAAGCCTTTTCCCATTTTGATTCTTTTTTATTTTTTATATCTTAGAAATGTTGTTTCAAAATCGTCAAAAAAAAAAAAATAAATAAATACAAAGATTAAAAAAAGCATATCTTACTTTTCTTAACAGTGATATTGCTCTGTGAATTTACCTGATGGCCTGCTCTCTCTGTGCTTTCCTGACCTCTGGTTTCTGGTTACGCCTGGCCTGAATTTCAGCCAGTGATAACCCAGTGACAGCACGTGTGAATTTCGTGGTTCTGCGGCTTCTCTTTTTGGCGATCTCCTCGAGATTTCCCTTCTTGTGTTTCCTTCTGTACAGAACTGTCCAGTTAATCTCACGAGGGTTTCTTTTCATCATGTGTGAGGCCTCACATTTGCTGTTGAGGAACTGGAAAACCTATAAAATATTTCTGACAATGAAGAGCACTCAAATTTTTAGGAGATCATTCTTCATACATTTACTTCATTGAGACTTTAGATAAGACTCTGCAGAGTAGTACATTATAAATACAGCAGGTTACAATGTACATGATTTCCTATTAGGCCCCCCACAAAATCTATGGTTGTTTCCCGTAGCATTCGTTAGGTATGCTTGTGAAGATTTCACTAATAAACGAGTGCTGTAACAAAGCATATAAAATGGCAAATTAATGTTCCATTTATTTGCCGATAAGGAATACAACTGGCAAAAATAGCCCCAAAGCCCATGCAGGCACAAATTAGATTGCATCCCCACACAATTCGTTTGCGATTGGGTTTTTTTGGTGTATTTGTGTGCTAACATCATGCGCAAAGAAATCAAATGGATAAGTGGTGACCTAATTCTATGGCAATATTATTGCATTAGAGATGATTTTGTAAAGAATCATTCTATTTCTGAATTCTCACGTCTACTGAATACAGTTGTAAAGGGTTGGCAGAGTCGGGACACCAGGTGTTGTCGATAATTCCCACTTTTCAACATGGCTCAATATGACTCTCCCCTACACATCAGGTATATACATGATATAAAAGTGGGGGTTAGAGTCAGAGGAACCCTGCACATTTCCCCCAATAAAGGCAGAGATTAGAGTCAGAGGAATCTTGGATTAATCCTAGTATAGGTTTTTGGTCAATTCATTTCAAATACTGTCTGTCATACTTGTAGTTAAAACTGTATTCTCAGTGACTGTCTTCTTGGAAATCAATCTGATTAAAATCAGATCCTTTGATCCACTCAACTAGATAGCTACACAAGGATCTGAAGAAACTCCATTTAGGGTCATCTTCTGGTGACCTATCAATTATCCAATCAATATTTTGCTATCTCGGAATTCAGTTGCAGAAGTAAAAGCCTGATGATATACGAATGGAAAATTGTGACTAGCTTTCCGTTGCCTGTCAAAAGAACGACCACAGTCTTTTCTGTATAGAAATATGTTTAGCAATTGCTTTTAAGCTCTTTGTTTTGTACGAAATGATTATCTTCTCCACAGCTACTTTCACTTTTATATTCATTTTCCCGAATGTCTCTTATGTATGACCTCTCTGATTGGTAAAAAATTTTAATGAATATTTTTAAGGAGGCTGGGGGGTCAACAAATATAACCATCAGATATAACTTAATTTTTTAGATATGATATCTTAAGCTGTCAACTATCATTTGGCAAACAAAAATTTCATACATTTTTAGTTTTTAAAATTTGATCATTTTTGTATATCTTTATATTGAGCTCTTCTTCTAAAGGAGATCAATATAGTCTGAAAATGGCCACAACCACCCAGCCCTCTTAATAGAAAGGTCACTAGGAGATGACCCTAAATGGAATTTCTCATATCCTTGTGTAGCGAGGTGAGTGGATCAAAGGATCTGATTTTAACCCGATTGCTTGGAAATATAAGGTCAATTCAATCACTGGCTATTTCTAACCAAAATCGCCGCGACTAAATGCACACTCCCTCGTCACATTAAAGCCCAAGAGGATTCTGTGCCGTACAGCTGCAGATATAGTACATTCATAAAGTCACTTAAGTAAAGTGAAAATGGAGGAGTCGGGGGGGGGGGGGGGGGCTCTATAATTCACTGGAAAAGTTACATAGATTCATATCAAACGTATGAACATCCATGAGAATCTTTAGATTCACACCTTGTACCCTGACCTGCAGGAACAGACTGTCTCTTTAAACTACGACTTACCCTTCCGTCAACTTTGACGATACGTTTTCCATGTCCAGGGTAGATTTTATACCCGCTGTACGAGCACAGTTCAATCCTGAAATCGGAAATATAGTGTAAAAATTGACAATAATTACTTGTGTATTCAATACAACAAATAAATTCTTGTGATGTATCGTCTAATGTTTAAAATCTAGTCGATAGTTTGTTGTTGTGTATGATTTTCACTCACTTCATGATTGATACCGGAAGTTGAAAGACCGAAAGCAAAAGGAACGGAGTGAATTCTTTATTTACAGTTTCGTGTACATTAACGTTTTTATATTAAATAATTAGGACCTTGGAAATCATTGCTGAACAATATGAGACTTGATGTATCTATTTTTGGTCAATGAGTATATAAGATTAAAAAATAATATTTTAACCAATGATTAGCCGACGGTCCTGAATAGCGGGAATCCAAAATGGAACTAGCGGGATTCCAGAGAACGAACGCATCGACAAACAGTGTGTTTAATTGAAAAAAATGGAAAGCAGTGAATATCAGTTTCATGTATTATGCTTTGGGGAGTTTTAGAAATGCATAAGACGTTAGTTTAATTGTGTTTATGAAAAATGGGTAAGTTTATGAACGTTGTGTTGCTAATGTAAACAAGTAGCAGGCGAGCTTCTGCCCTGTTTTATCACCAATAGAAGGCAATAAATGATAAAGGCCAGAGTATTATATGGTAATATGAGGTTATTGTAATATTATGTTCAAGCATATGAACACATATTTGTTCTTATTTGATAATATAAAGTGAAACATGTTGCATATCGTGTACATTTTGGAATATATGGGATTAGACATAGGATTAGATCCATGGAAAATGCATCTACAAAATGATACTTCCCTCTGGAGGATTTAGATTCAATTGAATGAAAACTAATACTCTTTTTAAACAAGATTCATCTGCATATACTTTGCATATATGTATACATGTGTAAATATACTCATGTAAGCATATCTGGCTGTATAAATGCACTTGAATATACATGCATATGCAAAAATACTACTGTAGCCAGTGTTTTCAATAAGATTTTTAATAGAAGGAAATATATTTGCAACAGCAGGAAACCAATCTCGGTGAGGGGTCTGGGGGCCAACAAAAGTACCATCTTTTGTCACATTTCTGTCCAATCAATTACATAATTTAACCTTATAAAGCCATATAAAAACTGTTTTTATCCTTTCCCTGATTTGTTATATGGATTTTTGACAGACTGAGGTTTTTGTTCTGAAAATTATGTGTCTGTTATAGACATGTACAGTTCCAAAAAATTGAAATATTCTGGAATCTTAGACTAAACTATCATAAACTTTTAGATGCTTCACTATTTTGTACAGAGCAAAATAATAAAAATAAAATTTCTACTTTATAAAACCTTCTTCAATGGGCAAAGTAACACTGTTACCGTATTTCAAGAGATCTAACACAAATAATCGAGAAAAACAAATTTTACATTTTCAGTCTGAGGAAATTCTGTTAGAATTCCTACGTCTCAGTCACGAATAAAAATATGTGACTTTCATTTGTAAGGTCTTAAAATTTTATCGGTCTAGATATAAATATTTGCTGTTATGATTGATATTTTAATCTTGACCTAGCTTGTGAAGTGACAGTGAATGTTAAAAACATTTTTCTATTCGACATTGTAGGCCATAGATACCTGACGTTTGTGCCCATGAAGCCTACAATTCTTAAAAATCTTGTGCCAACTTGGTCATATCTTTGAATCTAAAATAATAATCTTGATTGTTGAGTTGTGATTTTTTTTTTATGAAGTTCTAATTATTCATTAAAAATATATTCTTTAAACTTAACTCTCGGCGTCTCGCACGTTGTAGCATAGATTTGGTCCAAATAAAAACTTCCATGAAAAAGAGCGCACTCAAGGGAAGTTACTCTAGATCATGTAGATAGTCGTGATAAAATCTACGGATTTCACGTACCAACCCCATCAAAATTCCAATGACAAATATCTCATAGCCGAATGGATGAAAAGATCACCCTCTTTCATAAATCTAAAATTCTTCAACCATTGTTCATCATTTCATTTTTTAAGAACATCATCTTAAACCAGTTGCTTGAATGACTGTGGTATTCTTCTATTTTTATCCCTGAGAAGCATTATACTGTAATCCTAATGCTTATAGTATTAATAATTAATACATATGAAAGAATTCCATTCTCAAGTATTACACCATTTTTATGGAAATCCCGATAAGAAATTAATACAATTAGAATTGTGATTTAATGCATATGTATTTACTCACAGTACAAAAAAAACAAAAAAACAACATGGAAATGCATAGTAAATTTACTTTTGCATACAGGAGCAAATTTGCACATGAATAAATATTCTCATGAATAAATCTCTCACCATACATATTATATAAAAAAGCATTAGATAAATCCTTTGATACTCAGCTAACCCTGTGGACACTAGCTGTATATGAAGTGAAATGAATACTTTGTGTTCAAGAGAGTTTGTCTGAAAGGAAGGGTAAATTTATAGGCATCTATCAATGCTGTTTTTATTTTGGTAAACTAGATACTTTTTTCCCCTTTCAAAAAAAAAAAAAAAAAAGAAATGTCAGAATTCCCCTTTCAGGTACAGAAAATTTCTTCATGAAATATACATTTATGTACCATTTAAAATATATTTTATATGATAGTTTTATAGAAATTACCCCCTTCCCTCCCCCCCCCCCCCCCCCCCCCAGATAGGCTCTCAGAATGCAGATCGGACATGCCCCTGGCCTCCCATAGTATATTCAGTTGTTCTCATTTTTACCCCTTTTACTTGAAAAGGGTTGTCAAACAAAATAGGTAAATAAACCGATGATTTATAGGCATGCCCACAATATAAATCTATTATATTTTTTTGTTTATGCAAAAACAAACAAACAGAACAACCCCCCCCCCCCCCCCCAAAAAAAAAAAAAAAAAACAAACAGGTATTACATGTATTTTTTTTGTAAGTTTCTGAGAGTTATGCCCCCTTTAACACTCTGTCTTCCTAGGTTGGAGAATTACCGACAGTATACCATTGTGTATTGTTTTCACACATGCATGCAAGGGTTATAATTTGATATAGCAATGAACTGCTTGTTTTGTGAAAAAGCTAGGTCACAGGTAATTTTCTATTTAACATAGGGCGAATTTAATAACCCACCTAGCTTAAAAGCTTGGCCTTGTCCTCTAGCTAGGTTTAAAAATTTTCTTTTTAACCAGGATAGTGTCCTACCAAGAACAATAATAGTAATTATCTGAGTTTTAAACATAAAATTTTCACATTATTGTTCATTAGAAAAATAATTGTAAGAATTTCCTTTGCTCTCCAAATGTACTTGCTCTAGAAGTCAGTAGCAACAATTACAAACATACTTGACAAGATTATTTGAATGGATTGAAACTCCACATCAGTTTCATGCTGAAATGCATCCTTTTCTTGTTAACATTTAATCAGCCTGAGGATGAAAAACAGGGGTATGTTATTTGATTAAGTAGAATACAAAATCTTTATTTTCATGATCATACGTTTTGATGAAATATCTAATTTATATGAATAAAATAATACATGTAGTATACTTTCAAATCTGATAACACATTATTTGGCTCAGTTGTCTCCATTACAGAAAATGATCACATTTGAGATATTATCTACAAGTTCAAATCTGACATTTATATTTATAGCATGTACAGAGTGCCACAAGCAGCTCAGAGTGAATCCCCCCCCCCCCATATTTCATCATTTTGTACATGTTGTAAGCACTGGGTAGTCAGACTTGAGTACATTGAGAAGACAGATTAGTCTGTGTTCTGTGTTCTGAAGCCAAAATATATGGTGTCTTTGTTAGAATTTATGAAAATGCAACCAAAAATTCAGGATATTTTGAAATTGAACAAGTTTGTTACCTTTTGTTCTTTTCACTCTTACCTGAAAGAATTCTGTTATTGTAGAGATTATTTTATAATATTGTAATATTATAAATATGGTACTGAAGCTAGAACTTTCATAATTTTAGATGGAGATGTGGTGAACTTGTCAGGGGCAGGGATTCATCAGATTTCACTTCCCCAGGGAGTGGATCCAACTACTGTCATTTTAGATAAGAATGACATCACAAAGATAGACAATTTAGAAAAATGTCAGCACCTAAAACAGGTACATAATAAATACTAAAAATCTGTAAATGCCGCAAAGTTTTGAATTCAGCTAAATTAAAAGTACAAAATAACAAATTCATGTAAATTTTTGTTTATGAAAAGTATACTTAAAAATTAATTTTGAAACCAATCTCTTACTATCTCAAGACATTACTTATAACAGTTTCAAAACAAACAACTAACTAATGAATTCATAAAAAAAAAAAATAGTACTACAGTCAATCCATGTTATGTCGAACTCAATGGGACCAAGATGAAACTTCGAAATATCGAAGGATTCCAGATAACAGGTTAAAAAAAACCAAAAAGATAAAAAGAATAAGTGATTGTATGGACTGCCAGATAACTTGGACATATCCTTGATATTCGAGATATTGGTATTGCAAGTATTGATGCATCTATAATTACGGGACTGTTTCTTTGTTAAAGCTGTCCCTGGCGGGGAACCGCTTAGTGAGGATGACCAGTGTAGCCAAGCTGAAGAACCTCACAGTGCTAAACTTACCAGACAACAGTATTGTGGCCATAGAAGGTACATTGTTCTCCTCTCTCTCTGGTTACTGCATGCATGAAAGGTTGATCCAAAGTAGCACAAAAATGAAAGTGTCCTTTAAATGATTTTGAGAAATGCCAATTCATGTCTTGGAAATGAAGGGTAAAGATTATGATTTTTATTTATCTAGAAACTGGTTTTTATGTTTTAAAAAGGGATTTTAGAGAAGTGAAAACTTAGGTATTTCTTTATATTTTATCATTTTTTACATTCATTTAAGGGTTGAAGGAACTTACAGAGTTGGAATGGTTGAATCTCTCAGCTAACAGTATAAAGGTAAGTTTTTTAGAGAGAGCAATTTATATTTCTTATTTTGAAATTTTCTTAGTTTTGCTGTCAAAATAAAAAATATATTTCTAAAGAAAAAAACAGAAAACAACAACAACAAAAATCAACAATTAAAACATTAAGGTAACCAAACATTAAAAGTGCATGCTCATGATTTTAAGACAAATTATACTGTTAAAATGATTATTTAAGTTGGGGGATAAGCATGCGTTTTTGACAAAGAATGAAATTTAAGCGTAAATTTCCTCCACATTCAAATAACCACTTTTAAGTATGCCTTTTGACATATATGGATAATAGGACGTAACAGTTGTATATATATGTTTGTTTCAGGTGGTTGAGGGTTTGACTAATAACTACAAACTGCGACATCTGGACTTGTCTGATAACAGCATTTCTCAGATTACTAACCTGGCCCATCTTGTGTGCTTGAGAGTAAGTCTTCAAAAAGTATAAAACACCCAAGTTTAAATTGAATTGGTTTAGAAACTGAATATATTTAAGTCATCTTCTTATTCTTATATGAGATAAGCAATATTTATGTTAAACTTTATAATTTTACCCAAAGGAACAGATTTTTCACCTGTAACATATAGAATGTAATTTTTTTTGCCTTTTAATTGTTTCAGACCCTTTTGCTTCATGGCAACATTATAAAAACATTGGAGGGCGCTCCCCAAAATTTACCAAAGTCTCTGGCCATCCTGTCACTGGCTGAAAATGAGATAGCCGACCTGAATGAGGTATTTCTTTCTTACAGATTTCTGATTTTCAATTTTACACTGCACAAAGGTTTTGAAACAGTTAATTTGAAAAGTATAACAGTGTAAGTAATTAAGAGATAAAAAAATGTTTTGAATTAAAAAAATAAAAATTACTAAATTCAAGGTACAACATCCTTCCTCATATGAATCCTATTTTTTCTTTTGATGATACTGCAGTCTTCATTGAACCCGGGAGTCCAGTCCCTGGGACTTGTTAAAATTGGAAGGGGTTATGTGGAATTTGCACACTTTAGATGCCCTAAACCTCCATAATATTTTATAGTGTACTTTTCCTTTTGATTCAAATGATCAATTCATTCCTCAAATGTTTCATTTTCATTTGTGAGTAATGCAACATATCAAATAAAATAACATTAAATACACCTAAAAGTGTTTGTTTGATTTATTCATACAAAGTGAAGCAAAAAAGTTTAGCTACAGGTTATTTTACTGCAGTTTCCAAGAAACTCTTTCGTATTGGAGACACAAAAAGTGTACAGATTGAAAACGGATGCTCTCAGAAAAATGGATTTCCTGGCATGAAAAGACAAATAAGAATAAAATTACTTAATAAAATTCTGGGCATGTAAATGTTCGTATATATGTTAGTATAATTAGTGGATAAACCTGCTAAAAGAACCGAAATAAACATTTAGCCAAGACTGATACTGAGATTTTTCAAATGAAATCTATGAAGTTATAACTGAAATACTAATAATTTCAAGATAACTTGCAGTGCAAAATTTGATAGAAATTACCTCTTGATGATTTGTAGGGGAATATTAGCCATTAATTCCATATAGAATTATCCCCCTTATCAGAGAGTCAGTGAACCTGAAGTTAATTATTTTGAGATTTTTCATTATTCTCCCGGAGTTATCTTCCGTTTTGCTTAATAATTTTTATTAGTATTGATTTATAACAATCAATGTTTACCAAAGAAATCAGAGGCAAAAACGTATTAAAGTAATATGAGACAAAATGTAGGCCACCACACAACTTAGCTGGTGAATGAACCTTTTATTGATGTTTAAATATGTATTGATATTTTCTTTGCGAATCTTTGTCTTTGAAATCCAGTATCAATTATTAAAGTCGGACAAAGACTACCATTTTTATAGTTCTTTTACATCTGATGACAAGGAGAATGCTGTGAGCCTGCTAATGGGATTTGCTAGAAAAGAATTCGAACCAAAAAAGAAAACTAAATGGTCTGACAAATTGTGCTTCTGTGGAAACATGATAAATTTTGCATGTTTGTTAGGTACATTTGAATTTAATGTACTTTGGTGCAACTCAAGAACATGATGTAACAAATCTGTATCCTTTGAATGTTTTCCTCAAAGCAAGTCTTGGTTATCTTTGAGGAAAAAAAATGGATTAGGCCAACAGTAAAAAAACGATTCGTTAGATGTAGTGCGACCTACCGAACACATCGCCCCTATCTGATAATTTTTTTTTTTTTTTGGCAGAATTTTACTTTTTTTTTTTTTTTTTGGCAAAAATACATTTTACCTGTATCATTTTTAAAGTTAGTTCTTATCATTTTTCTAAAATACTTTTTAGATTAAAAGCAATAGATATAAAAAATCTATTTAGCTGTCTGATGTCTCTAATGTAAATTACCAAGTCTGTGGTTTTATGATGATTATAGGTGTTAGAAAATTATTTAAAAAAAAAAAAAACCCTACCTACCCACCTTGATTACATGTAATGTGGGCCAGAGTACATCATACATGAAAATTTTGAATGATGTCCTAGGTACTTCTAATGTGATTCAGTTTGATACAGACAAGGTATGGCTGACTGCGTTTGAAGGTGCATCCTTTTGTCCACATTCAGTGACATGAAATTGATTGATGATTTATTTAATAAGAAGCCACAATTTGTTAATTGTAATGGCCGTCCCTTGCAGGCTTCCGGCACTAAGTTGTCTTCCTGTTCAACTGGTGCCATGCAGCCATTATTCTTTGGAGTTAATTACCCAATCAATGCATAATGGCATAGGAGCAATTAGTCTGCTGGCCTTTTTTTGTTCTCAAATGACAGGATATTCTATGCATTAATAATTTGATGTGCATGCATGGTTATGTCTTAGGTATTGCAAACTATTAAGAAAGAAAAAAAAAACAAATCTGTGTTTGGCAAAGGTACATGTAACAAAATAAAAGTCTTGAGAATAATGCAAATTTCAGTTTTTATGGATAGGCAAACTTAATTTTGTTTTTTAATTAATCATCTAGATCAGAGCATCTTCATAAATCTTGATGGTACATAATTTCCTAGTTCATTTTTCGAAACAGTCTGTTAAAATGAGCAGGATTTTATAATTCTGACAGTTTTTAAGACCAAAAAGTGAATGACTTAAAAATAAAATGCAAAGTTACTGTGTGGATATTTAAGGTATATGAAGAGAGCCAAGACACAAGCTTATGATTGACGAACACAGAGAGTTTATAAGGTCCACAAATTATTCATTGCCAGTTTATATGCTGTTTGAACCTCCATCTAGTATTAAACTAGAAACAGAATTAATTGTTGAAATACCTAGCACACTTAAGAGAGCTAGTAAAACAAGAGGCCCATGGGCCACAATGCTCACCTGAGTTACTTTGATCATGCTGTTTTTCACCAGAACCCCCCTCCCTTGTAATACTTACTGTGGCCCCGCTCTACCCCCGGGGGGCCATGATTTGAACAATTTAGAATCTACACTACCCAAGGATGCTTCCACATAAGTTTCAGCTTTTCTGGCCCAGTGGTTCTTGAGAAGAAGATTTTTCAAGATTTTGCCCATATGTTTCAATGTAAAACTTTGATTCCCTATTGTGGCCCCGCCCTACCTCGGGGGCCATGATTTGAACAATTTAGAATCTACACTACCCAAAGAGGTTTCCACATAAGTTTCAGCTTTTCTGGCCCAGTAGTTCTTGAGAAGAAGATTTTCAAAGATTTTGCCTAATATACATTTCAATGTAAAACTTTGATTCTCTATTGTGGCCCTGCCCTACCCCCGGGGGCCATGATTTGTATAATTTAGAATCTACACTACCCAAAGACGCTTCCACATAAGTTTCAGCTTTACTGGCCCAGTGGTTCTTGAGAAGAAGATTTTCAAAGATTTTCCCTAATATACATTTCAATGTAAAACTTTGATTCCCTATTGTGGCCCCACCCTACCCCTGGGGGCCATGATTTGAACAATTTAGAATCTATACTACCCAAGGATGCTTCCACATAAGTTTCAGATTTTCTAGTCCAGTGGTTCTTGAGAAGAAGAATTTTTAATGACCCCACCCTATTTTTGTCTTTTCTTGATTATCTCCCCTTGAAAGGGGGGTTGGTCCTTCATTTTAACAATTTAAACTCCCCTTCACCCAAGGATGCTCTGTACCAACTTTGGTTAAAATTGGCTCAGTGGTTCTTGAGAAGAAATTGAAAATGTGAAAAGTTTACAGACGGATGGACGGACGATGGACAACAGGTGATCAGAAAAGCTCACTTGAGCTTTCAGCTCAGGTGATCTAAAAAGATATTGGGGGCAGGCTTAAGATCTAAGTTAGTATAGGGCTCTTGAAGGGATAGGAATTTAGCAATCAATTTTTTTTTTATTTAAAAGAAGTATTTAAATTAAAGAAATATTCCTGAAACATGATAAATTTTCTAGTTAATCAAGGCAGTTAGTACAGATAATATTTAAGATTATTAATGACATACATGTTTATTTTTTTTTTTAGGTGAGATACTTGTCATGTTTCCAGTTGGAACAGGTTTCTTTGATGAACAATCCCTGTGTTCTTGTGACTTCTTCTAATTCATATCCTTGCTACTGCATAACAACACACTGTTCTGTCCTTTGATTGGTCACAGTATCTCCAGAGTGTCACTATTCCATCTTTTCATTGTTTCACAGTATTGTTAGAGTGTCACTGTTTCATTTTTTCATTGGTCACAGTTACATGTATCTGCAAGGTGTCATTATTATTGTTTGGCAACAGAAAACTCAAGGGTGTGTCATGACCTTGACCAAGGGTCATTTCACCAAGTTCAAGGTCACTGACAGAAAAATGTAGCATTGCTGTCCTGGTCCTATCTTGTAAAAGAGGAATGTTGGAAGCTCATAGAAACATAAAGATTGCTTATTACCTGAAGGTGCACTGAGACCTAGACTTGGGGTTATTTGGCTAATTTCAAGTTCATCTTTGGATGATCATACATCTAATATTTCTTTGCTAATGACCTGAGAAAATATCATGACCTCTATGCAAGGTCAATGGACAAATTCAAGGTTGCTTGTAGAGGAACTGTTGATCTCTTCTGCTCCATAACTTTGAAACAGATAAACATCGGAAATCAATACTTGACAAAAAGATTATTCTTAACTTGGGGATGTGTCAGTAATCTGACCCAAGGTCATTTGGACAAGTCTAAGGTCACTTACAGGAAAAAGTAAAATGCCATGAAAAATGATTATCTGATATATGTATAAATTTCGATTCAAGAAAATTTCTAGCAGCAACGATTGGAAATACTGTAAACATACTTAGGCTACGTAAAATTGAAATTATGGTTATAAAGCACTCACACATCCGTTTTGAGGTACCCCCATTGCTATTTTTTATCATATTTTCAAATGGCATAAAAATCATGTAAATCACATCTCTACATGTACTTTTATTGAATGGGGATAACTGTACCATTAGAGGTCCAAATGAAATTTTTGTATCATTGCTGAGAAGTTTGTAGAGTTGATTTCCTTAACAGAAGCACTGGTTTTGATGCACGTCCTTTCATTATTAACTGGATACAAACACTGTTGGTGCTGGATGGCTACATGGTCACTGAGAAAGAAAGGTATCCACTTTCCTTCTTTTTTTACTATTTGTGTACAGTAACATTGACACATAACATGCACTGCAGAGAAGTTTTTCTTACATTTGCTGAAGAGATTTCATTGTAGAATATGGGTGAAAGTTGAGAAAAAAGTCGTATCTTTCTCTGTTGGAAGAACAAAATTGATAAGAAATGTCTTTAACTGATTTTTTAATGGTTAAATATTATAAATGTATTACATTGTATTTAATCCATTAATGGACTTTTTGAAAAGGGGGGGGGGGGGGGGGGAGTCCATTAGTTCTTCCTCCGAGAAATTTTTTGGACAAATGCATTGTTTAACTTGGCAGTTTCTCCTTTCTATAGATTAAAGGCAGAGTGGTTGTACAGCCAGGGCAAGGGGCGACATTTTCGTTCAGGGCAGCATTCAGATATTGTGGAATACCTGTCCTCAATCTGTCCCTTGACCACATCTGACCAAGTAAGTATCCATGGAAACAGTAATCTGTAGTTTTGTTGCATATTTAAAATTATACTGAATAATTTAACTTTCCTGCATGGTTGTGCAGTTTTTTTTATAGGCTTGACCTTGGGGATAATTTAAAAAAAGAAAAAAAAAAACTTTCGAAGGGAGGAATAGGGGATTTCTAACTATTAAAATATTTCCTCCCCCTGCTTTTTTTTTTTTTTTTTTTTGAATAGAAGTTTTAATCATTTCAAAAATTTATTTATTGAACATGTAAATATGAAATTTATAGACTCAGGCAGGACGAGTCAAAATGCTTGTAGCAAGGGTGAGACCTTTACATATATTCTGTAATGCAGGCATTTAGATAGCAATGGTGTAATTACACTTGTGTAGATCATTCAATTCTGTGGTTTTCTTGTAAATTCTTTGCTAACTTTTCTTAGTATACAATGTAGTACTAAATGGAAATGTATAATTTAATAAATAGCATAATATTTTCTAGGATTTTTATAAAAGTTTGGATTTCTTTTCATCATCTTTCTTGGAAAATTAAAGATTTTGGATGTTTAGCAGAAGTTTCATGATCACATTTGAGAAAATTTTGAGAGGAGGAATTTTAAAGTTCAATTCACTCTTAATGCATAAATAAACTTCACAGCTTGTTGAATTTTATTTGTTTGAATGATAATTAACATAAAAAAATTATGACATATTCCTTTTGAAAAATAGAAATGTAGATATAAGATTGATATATTGTACAACATAATTGATTTAATTAAGCTTCCAAACAAGTATGGTTTTATCTAATACACTATAATTCATTGAAGAAAATCTTTAACAATAAATCTGTTTAAAAAAAGGGAGTAATAGATCAACATTAATTAAATGTGCTTGTCAAACATAATATGAAATTAACGCTTCTTTTAGAGCAAAGTCATTTTTTATGGCATAATCATATCCAATAATAACGACCCAACAACGTAGGGGGCATCATATTAAACGATTGTTTTCAGATGTAATCTTCGCATAGCATGTCATAATGGTGGGAAGTAATTTAGCGACATCACTTTGTTGATGTTGTTATTCTTGGCTTACTTTTTTTTTTAGCTGTTAAAATCAGTACGATCGACAGTCCTCAAGGAGGATATTTTTTTCTCGTTATAAATTGTTTGTTAACAGTAGGATGTGTCTTGCTTGTTCGATGAAGAGATCTGACGATATGATTTTCAGCATTTGACCTTTTTTGAATGATTTGCCAGAGGGTGTAAAAAAAAACACAAACAGATTTTTATTAGATAAATTTTCAGATACGTTTGGTGTATGTAAAGTGTATGGATTGATTAACTGTAATTTTAATAAATCATCAATACTTAATTATGATTTATATCGGGTTAGAATAATGTTCCATTTAAATGTCTGCAAGTCATAAAGGTTTTCCAAAAAAAACAAAAAAATGTGTAACCAAAAAAAAAAATTGCTTTGAATATTTAACATGTTTAACTGAATTTATTAAGTGGAATAATCATGCTAATGAAAGAATTCTTTTTTGAGGGGGAAAGGGTGCGTGCTTCCTTTGTGAACTTTGACCTGTCTCAGCAGATACCTTGACCTTATGCTTATTTTTATCCTCCATAAAAGTTGAATCCAATTTAGACAGCAGTGATTTTTTTTCTTTAAAATTCATAAATTTCAACTAGATTAAGTATTTTATTAAAATTATTTTTTTTCTACAGGTTTCAAATACTACTATCTTAATTTTGGATTAAAAAAAATATATTGAGTAATGCTGGTGAGAACAAATGGGGGAGGGGGGTGGGGCTATAAGAGAAGTCATCAGTATGGTTTGTAATTAATTTATATGGGATTTTTGCTTACTAATGACAGTTACCTGAGGTTACATCAGCAATTCATGTTATATTAAGAGTACCTTTAAACAAAGATAGGATCTTTCAGTGCATGGTACAAATTAAGCCAATTGCAGCTGTTTTATTCATAGTTGTAGACTTTAAAGCTATTTTATGAATGGGTATTGAAGTAAATGCACTGGTATTTTTCTCTATTTTTCTTCTTTGACTCATATTTGGTGTATTGTGATAAAGTACCCTATCAAAAAATCGATTTCTCTTGGTCAGGATTTGAGGTATCCATGGTTATGGTGTGTACTAGGAATTTCCTTAACGTCTTAGGTATGATGCTGATTTTGTTAAGGGAATTGGTAGTTTTTTTTGTACTGTTGAGGGAAATGGTAAATTTCTAACTAAATGACTAAGTCTTGCTGTTTGTTGAACTAATAATAAATTTAATTAAAATGACTTAGAAATTTGCAGCGAATTTATAGACATGTTAAGAGTGTAGCAGCAATTTCTAATGTTATTCCATTATTCAAATGAATAATTTTGGAAATTTAATACACGTCAAGTACTGCAAATCACTTTTTATTCCTTCTACGCTCAAAAATTTCATTCTCGAATATATTTTTATAAGTATAGATTATATACGACAGTAACCAAAATTCGTGAAAATTTTGTCTTGCTTATAAATACAAAATGCATATCTCACAAAACAAAAGGTGTAATGAATATTTCTTGATCTATAGTACATTTATCTTAGATTCTTTTATGTATTTATAGAGACAGTCAGAACTTCATTTTCTTTCACTGATATTCTCTCTGCAATTTTACCAAATTAAACAAAAAATCTAACAGATCAAAGAAAAAGAGGGACATATATTTTATTTGGTTGAAAATTTTTTTATATCGGTATTTGTACTTCAATTTTCACATCACTAGGTAATTTCGTTACAGTAACTTTTTTGACACATTTATAAACAGTCTTGTTCTTTATAAACCCAATTTAACATTTGATAAAAATCAAATTGTTTTTTTTTTTAAATTTGTGCTTAGGAAAATCAATCTCTGCAAATAAATTTGATAAATATACTGATTTTAGTGACAGGATTTAATTTTTGAATTGGTCAACAGACATACTTGGTCTTGTACATACTTGCTGGAAAGTTTCAGCACCGTATGTGCATGTTTTGTCAAGAAAACATAAGAAATGTTTATCTTGACTGAAAAGTTTGATTTTACACTGCGTGCATGTTTTGTAGGAAGATAGTATCTTGCCCCTCTTCCTCACTTTGATAAATAGAAGTAGGTGACAGCACCCCATCTCATGATAAATATTAGCTTCTGATGTGTCATTTCTGCAGTCTTTAATTTGTCTCAGATTGCTGTGTTGTGTTTATCTTGAGTGAAGTGTTTCTGCAGTGGTGTTTTCTTGATTTATGAGAAAACGCAGTAGCCTAGTTTCCAGTTTACAGAAATATTATCTAATACACTGTCAAGACTACATTGACAAATTCCTGCAAAAAGCTGCATGTCCCGGCCTGCATGCAGTAAGTGGAAGCTGAATTAAAGCTTTGCTTATGAGGTTAGCAATTTTTATCTTGGGTGAAGTGTCATGTCCTAAGATACATTTTCCTACAATTGTACAGAAAATAGCTGAGTATCCTAATTACAGAAATAGTTGGAATGACTAAGTGCTGATAATCATGGTTACCATAGCATTTTGTGAAATAATATTATCATAATGTTAAAAATGGGAGCAAGTGTCAGCATGCAAAATTCAGGAGGAAATGCATTTGAATGAAGGTATAATCTTTATATATATAAATCAAGCATTATACCAGTGTGCAGGGTTGTCCCTAAGAATTGAAATAGCAGCTAGGGACATTAAAAAAAGTAGAAGGGGGTTTGGGGGTTCCTCCCCAAACAAGGAATTGAGGGGAAATACCAGAGTAACCGGGGGATAACGTAATTCTAGGCAGGGAAATTCCCTGGCCCCTGGGTCTTGGGGACGAACCTTGAGTGTGGAAAAAAATCAATGTTGATAAAACACATGATAAAAAAAAAAAATCACTTTATTCTACTCATCAATATATAATTATAATTGCTTTAGATTGGTTTGGTATCTATCATTGTTTTATTGTATTCATTAATTAATGCACATTAGAAAGAAATGTTTATATATATTCCTTTTTATTGGAAACTGTCAATTTTTAAAAGATTTGAATGTATAATTCAGTTTGAATCTAAATACAAGTTTCAGGCATAATTATGTCCAGAAGAATTTTTTTTAATGCCATAATCATCATAATTGCATGTCAAACAAATTTAAATTTAAACGTTACAATCAGGAGTTCAGAAAATCTTCAATAAAGCAAATTTTTAAATGACTTAAACACTCACAATAAAAAGGACAACATACAACATTTTGGGTCATTTGATTTGCTTGACATAATAAAATGCAGTGGAGTCGGTCAGATTGGAATTATCTTGGCAAACCTCCAGGTAGAATCAGCTGATTTCTAAAAAGGTAGGACCTATGTATAAGAGAATCACTTATTTGGAAAAAAAAAATTGTATAAATATTTAAAACTTTCTTGGGGGCAAACATGAGTTGGATTTATTTTTCGAATTATTTTAAAATTCATTAATTTAGAATAAAAATCTGAATTTGAATTTTTTTTATTATCAAATGCAGAATAATTATTAATTTCATAAATATACTGTTAATGGTATTTCCTGAGACAATAAACATGCTGAATTATAAATAATGTTCTAAGAAGTACATAATTTCATATTGATCAAGCTAACATTGTTGTTTGTAATATTATGTTCTAGGAATTTAAAATGTTTCAAATTTTTCTTGAGATTATTAGTTTTAATTAAGTTAATCAGTTTAACCTTTTGATTATGATCTGATTCAGTAAATTTTTTATTTCTCCTTAATTGTTATCCCTTTATAGAAGTAGTAAACACATCAATATCACACCATAGATACACATTTTGTTGATCAGCTGATTCAGTGTTAAATACAGCAACCTGAATTTCAAAATCATCTTGCATGATTAATCATCTCAATTTCTTTATAGAAATTTCCAAAACATTCTATATATCTTGGCAAGAGGCATTGTTTGTAAACACAAAATAAGGCAGAAATTATAATCT